TACAACGTAATTTTGCATCGCCAGTAAATTCGTTTCCTCATTTAATCGCGCACTTATGCGAGCGCGCACAATGACATTCGTATTAAATTCAGCGTTATCGACGCGGTAAATGCGCGCGATACGCGCGATATCGCCTGGCAAAAGCCGCCGCCGCCGCCGAGAGAACATTTACGCCAGCCGCACAACGATGCGTAACCTCGCGGCGTAACGCCGCGCATCGTCGTCGACGAAATTCCTCGATGCTTGGCGAACTCTAGCACTAAAACTGGCCAAAAACGGCCTGCGCGCGCGATTCCTTATGGAAATTATTCAAACTTACATTATGACGCATGTTGTGTGTTTTTAACGTTTTAACGCCGGATGAAAAGAAACACGTTTTACGTCACAATGTTTTATCTTTGGAAGAGAGACGTGTATATTTCTACATTTGTCTTTCCCTCTGAAATTCATGAATAATCGTATCAATTGTCGAGAAATTCTCGCTAAATATGGATTCCATGTGACAGCCAGAGCGGTTCGAACAAATAATTATGTATTTCATATTGAGTATCATCTGACCAATTGCGACAGTAGATTTAGCGGTTTAAATTCGGGCGTAACGTTCGATAGCAAATAAATACTCGGGATTTATCGGCTTTTTTAACAAACGCTTTCGATAATTCCAGACATAGGCCGGTGCGAATCCTCTCCGCTTGATGATCCCGCGCTCTTGCGATTCCGTGCAGATAATTCCACCGCATCGTCACAGCTCGCTTGTATCTTACCGTGTTCACCAAAGAATTATATACCCGTGAATAAACAAGTAAATAAGGAAATATTTAGGCAACATATTTTCCCAAAAACTTGTCGCCAGATCGTCGGCGGTTGTAACTTGAACGCGCGCTGCAGCGGCGGGCCGCGGCTTGGGGACTCGTCCTTGAAAAATTCCCAGCCTCGGCCGCCGCGCCGGCCGAACGCGTCGTCGCGAGATTCTCACGGGCGCGACCTCTGCGCCCGTTTTCGTTGGACGACTCGCGGCTCCGACGGTGGAGGGAAAAAATGCGCGCGAGCACGTTCGGCGATGTTAATTGGCGGCGTAACGAAGCGTGCGATTTTCAGGACACGTGTGCGCCAACGTGCGGAAAACTAGCGCGGCGAACTTGAGCGGGCGTAATCGAGATCGACGGCGAGAGCCCGCGCGAGCGTGGCGAACGCCGCCGCTATTTCTGGACACTTCTTGTCCCGTCGTGATGCATGGCTGCGCGCTACGGGCTGCAATTAGTCGGCGACGCGACAAACAGACGGATGCATAATCCGCCGTGGCGTTCGCCTTTAATCAAACACGACGTGTACTCCCAACGTACACGCGGAGGAACCCGCAGACCGCCAAGACCGAGCCGTATCGCAACGTCGCGACTCGCTCCTTCGCGCTACTCCGGACTATTACGTGGCAGAATGATATCTCGGTGATTTGAGCGCGAGCGAATACGAGTAATTGTAGACTCTCTTAATGTCATCGACACTTTGACACTTGGCCGCTGTATGTGTAACGCGCGGGTGCGCCACTCTATTTCGCCGGAGGTTATCGCCGCAGACAGAAACTTTGTCGATAACAGACAGTCGTTAATTGAAATTGTATTTTCAGCCGTGTGAAGATAAATCACTGCTTAGCTGTGTCACACTGGGAGAACGTCTGTCTCTTTTAATTGCTGATTATTCTCGTGATTACGTTTGCAACTCTAATTCCTCCGCATTGAACGCCGGAATACATCGCGGAATACAGGCTTATCGTAATATATATATATATATATACAGGGCGCACGATTTATCTGAAGACATTGAAATATCTCGAGAACTATGCATTGGATAAAAAAAAGTGGTTAATGAAAGTTGTTAGTCTCGAAGGGGGACATCCAATGATACCAAACTCGACCTCCCACTCCACCCCCTGGGGGTGGGGGTTGGGGGCAACTTTGAAATCTTAAATGGAAACTCCCATTTTTTATTGCAGATACGGATTCTACGCCACAAAATACGTAAATTTTGTCAGAAACTTTTTTTTTATTCGTGATAGATGGCGCTGTAATCGCAAAAAATTATATTTTCCGCAATTCTCCAGAAATGATCATTGGATTGAGAAATAAAAAATACCTGTTCAATATTTTTAAAGAACATAATAAAAGTTATTCCCCTCCCCATCCTCTCGGGGTAGGGTGGGTGGTAACGTTCAAATCTCAAATGGGGACCCACATTTTTCATTGCAGAATTAAATTGTACGTGAAATTTTTATTGAAACAATTTTTTTCATTCGTGATAGATAGCGTTGAATTTTTCCGAGAAACTACTTTTGGCGTTACACAGGAACAACGACGAGGACGTAGTAGTTTTATGTTCCCTTCGGGTGCTTTTTTAATGTGAGTCCCCTTGCCTTGAGATTTGAACGTTACCACCCACCCTACCTCGAGAGGATGGGGGAGGAATAACTTTTATTATGTTCTTTAAAAATATTGCACAGGTATTTTTTATTTCTCAATCCAATGATTATTTCTGGAGAATTGCGGGAAATATAATTTTTTACAATTACAGCGCCATCTATCACGAATAAAAAAAAAAGTTTCGGACAAAATTTACGTATTTTGTGGCGTAGAATTTTGTGGCATCTGCAATAAAAAATGGGGGTTTCCATTTAAGATTTCAAAGTTGCCCCCAACCCCCACCCCCAGGGGGTGGGATGGGAGGTCGAGTTTGGTATCATTGGATGTCCCCCTTCGAGACTAACAACTTTCATTAACCACTTTTTTTTATCCAATGCATAGTTCTCGAGATATTTCAATGTCTTCAGATAAATCGTGCACCCTGTATATATATTAGGTATATAATGTTTTATGTAATAACCCGCTTTACGCAACATATCAACGTAATATCAACGAGAGCAAGCATTAAAGAGCATTAAATAGCAAGTAGCAGTTATAAGGAAATCGATCGTACTCTTCGGTTCTGTCTAATCGACGGAAGATCGCGTAGCGAAAACTTAATCAGGATGTTTACTCAAATCTGGAAAAAAAATTCCCTGACTTTTCTCTGATTATCCAGGCAATTTGTTAAAAATTCCAAGTCAAATAAAAATATTTTTTTAACTCTCCGCATGATTCGTGGGTCTTTCAGGGAACAGTAAAATTTGAATTTATTGTAAAATTTGATGAAATTAGAGGTGATGCCTGTAACTTTCACTTGAGGAAATATTTTTAGGATTTTCTTAAATGGAATTTTTAGGCCTCACCTCTCTAAATCAATCAAAATTTACAGTAAATTCAAATTGTTACTGTTTCGCAAAAATCTACGAATCAAGCAGAGGGTTAAGTGTCTTATAAATGAATATATATATTTATTGTGCAACTTGTCCTTATGGTATTTTCGATTTATAAAAGTTTAAACAAAACATAAAAATTTGTCGATACATAACAACGTAAATTACATTACCCAGCGAAAATATAATAAAAATTTACATTGCACTTTAATATTAAAGAAATTTTCGATTATTTTTTTAAAGCTGCAATTTGTTCTTGAAGCGCTTCTGCTTCTTTTTGCACACTTTCTTAAATTTGTATACGTTTCATTTCTAACTCCTTTGCTTTTAAATTCTTTTTTCTTTTCAAAGACCTTTCCTGTACTATAATATATCATATTATTATAATATAAGAAAATTTTAAAAAGAACAAATTCAAAAAAACCTAACCTCATTTCCAATAAAATTCCCTGACTTTTCCCTGATTTTCCAGGCATAAACATATTCCCTGAGTTTTCCCTGATTTTCCAGGTTTTTCCAGGCAGTAAACATCCTGTTAATTAATAGTAGGAAGTTAAATGGCCGAAAATATCGCAATCGGCCAGTCGGCGATTCTCTGATCGTAATGATTAGCGGATATCACCGAGGAGGCAGAAGAGAGCAGAGGGTAACAAAGAAGCGCACCGAGATCGAGAAAGGGGCGAGGGGATGATATCGTCGGGAAGTCGCGACGTCCAAATAACGCGGCATAACTAATGACGAGGAGATAAACGGCACGGCAAACGACGCGTAACGGGTGAAGTGCCGTGCCGTGGAGATTCCGCGCGGAAACGGACCGGAAACTCTCCGGGGAAGTCCCTTGTCGGGGAATTGTTAGGACCGCCAGCGCCACCCCTGCCACCGCCTCCGCCGCCGGCGGAAGTGGCGGATTCTTCGCCGCGGTGGCGGCGGCGCTTGTCGTAGAAAACCCGAGGAGGAGACCCCTGGGATACGCTAAGAGCGTCGCTGAAACCCAAATTAGACGGTCGTCCGACTCGGGGTAAATAAAGAACGATCATTCCCCTCGAGGTCTCGCGCGCGGCGTTCCGGGTTTTCGACCGAGGAAAAAAATCGCCGACTTCGGTTCGGGGGTGGTCGACTCGAGGGGTTGACCATGTTAGGCCAATCCTGAAATTGGGAGAGCCGCGGCATGAGAACGGCCGGTTTCGATTTTGGAAAATTTATCAACGCGGGCGGAGATGGACGGAGAAATTGTGCGAGCGAGCGAGCGAGCGAGCGAGCGAGAGAGAGAGAGAGAGAGAGAGAGAGAAAGATAGTTGAGGGAGGGTGAGTTTTGTAGATGTCGAAGAAGCGAAATCCGCGAAGCGACCCTTTCGGATCTCGCGACAACTGGAGCTCGTGGTTTCTGTCGTCTCGTTTCGTCTCTCTCTCTCTCTCTCTCTCTCTCTCTCTCTCTCTCTCTCTCTCTCTCTCTCTCTCTCTCTCTCCTTTCTCACCCGGTGAGACATTATCTTACGTTACGATCGCCGATGAGTACCGCGCGTGAATTACGACGACTTCTCGCTCGCCGAGCAAGTCTGTGCAATTGTTAACATTGCGAAATAGTGCTGCGTCAGCGTACTAAAACGCAACGCGTTGAATAATAGAATGTGGTTACGAGTAACCCAGGTTAAGTTGCTCATCTATAATAACGCGCTGTATGTAGCTAAGCCCCGCCGCCAAAAGCCGCATTACTCTCCTTCCCCCCCCGCCCCGCCCCGCGCTTAATAATACGTCACGGCTGATAGAGATCCTCCTTGTGAATAAATTATACAAAGACGACGGTGCAAATGCGGAATGTTTAATCAGCTTTTGTGCGTGAGACTCGAGAGAGAGAGAGAGAGAGAGAGAGAGAGAGAGAGAGGGAAGGAGGGAGGGAAAGAGCTTTCCACAGGGTGGTGGAGAACACGCGAAACATATCCAAGTGTATAACTTCCAATATTCACCGCCAGACAATCCTCGATTTTCACAAACTCGCGCATTTTCTTTGACATGCGTGACGTCGGAAAAGAAGCGCGTTCCGTCAATCAAACTGTGTCAGGCGGCGATAAAGCTTGGCGATAAAATCGTCGATAGAGGCACTTATCGCGATAAGATATGGTTGTAATATAGTGAAATTGCAAATGTTTTCGCGCATACTAATTTTACCCCCTCCGTCGCGTTGAAATTCTCATGAGGCCGCGACGCGACTCATGTGCGACGCAAAGCGCACCGGACTTTATTAAACGTTCTCTTGTTCCCCACGCACATACCTATACGAATGTTTAGACCTGACGCAACAACTCGGAACGTTTCGTTTGGCCCAATTTGCATGAAACGCGGACGTGTCCCGCAGTGCGTCTCACATGTGCGATAATTCGTCCCTCTCGCGGTCATCGCTGAAAATCGCGTCCCAACCTAGTCAGTTAGTGCGTGTTACTCGAGCGATTCGCGCGACAACAGCATCCCGGCAGCGTATCGTCATCCCTCGCCGTGCGTGATGAATAATGAGCGAAGTCACAAGTCCGCAGGCGAGCGCGCCGGAAGAATCGCGCTCCGCTGCGTCCTCGCGCTCGCCTTCGTCCTGGCCGTCGTCGATGGTTTGCCCTCTGCACATGGGCCGATAATAAACACCAAATGGGGCTCGATACACGGCAAATGGAGCTGGAGTATAAACGGCCGGCCGATCGCCAATTTCCTCGGGATACCGTACGCCTTACCTCCGTTGGGCGATTTGCGATTCAAGGTGCGTACTGCGCTCAATCGCGAGCGGCCCTAGGTTCTCCTAGGTTCCTAGGAGAAGTCGCACAAACAGTCGAAGCAGCGTCCATCAGGCGCACTTTGTACTTTCTAACGCCTTACACTGCAAACCCGAGTGTGTTATTTTGAGACGTGTATAAGCTGAAGCTTCCTTTACGCGTGTCTTGTCTTGTCTGAAATCACGTCGTTTAACGCGTTTAAACGCGTTAAGTGATATCGAAATGCATGAAATGACGTGATTTCAGACGAGAAGAAACGCGTGAAGAAAGCTTCAGCTTATACGTGTCAAAATAACACACTCGGATTCGCAGTGTATGTCGACTTGATCTGTTTCGTTTGTACCGTTGCCGTCTTAAGTCGTGCAAGTCTCGGCCTTTTAGCGTCGGATCCCAGTATAGTTGAAATGTTTTCCGCTAGAAATTGTAGGATATTTAGAACGAACGGCTAAAGGTTCACTGCCATTGTTTCACGTTAGAGCCCGCAACCTTGGAACCTCACGTGGACGACGATCCACGACGGCACAGTGGACGGCGATATGTGCAGCCAGCTCAATGGTGATGAAGTGATCGGCAGCGAAGACTGCCTCTATCTGAATGTCTTCATGCCCGTGGTGAGTGCCTTGTACTTCATCATCCCGTCCCGGCGACAATGAGGTCGCTAATAACAACGTAACTCGCGATTGCACCTCGAATTGAAATCTCTTGTTTCGCAACATCCTGCGGACGCGCGAAGTCAATCGGCTCGCGAGAGCGAGATTAATGTATAATCTTTTAGCTGCGGCATGATATTCGCTTCACCGTCGCGCGTCACCGAATCAGATGTTTGAGTAATTCACGCTTCGCTTAAAGCGCGTTAAATACATAAATATAATAAATAATAAATTAGAGATGCGCGAATCAAGAATTTTTACGTCGAATCAAGTCGAATCGAATCTCATTTTTTAAATGCGAATTCGAATCGAATCAAATGAAATCGGATCGAATCGTTGAAAAATTTTACATGACTATTAAACATGCAAATTATGATGGAAGATTTTAATGTGAAAAGGAATATTGATATTGTAATATCATCTTAAAGTAAAATATATATTCAAATATTTAAAGTAATTTATAATTAAGTTATTAATTATAGGTTAAGTTAATTACAAGTTAAGTGTTCAAACATAGGGCCCAGATGCCCGTTTTGTTAATGCACGCAAACGATAATGAATCTGATTCCAATTCGTATTATTCGAATTCGAATAGTTCGCACATCTCTGTAATAAATAAAGTAAAATCATGTAATAAATAAATAAAATATGCAAGACGCGCATATGTACACTGCAAACCCGAGTGTGTTATTTTGAGACGTGTATAAGCTGAAGCTTCCTTTACGCGTATCTTATCTTGTCTGAAATCACGTCGTTTAACGCGTTTAAACGCGTTAAGTGATATCGAAATGCATGAAATGACGATTTCAGATGACAAGAAATGCGTGAAGAAAGCTTCAGCTTATACGTGTCAAAATAACACACTCGGGTTTGCAGTGTATGCCTGTGGTACTAAGAGATTAAAGACTTTTATTCATAATTTTGTAGAGTACGATAAATTTTCAAACAATGTGTGTATGCAACATAGACATAGGAACAGATATAGGGACAGAGCATAGAGTTGCGGGGGAATAACCATTGCGGGACGGTGCGATGAGGTGAACTGTGCCTAAATCTAATTGGCGGTTGTGCCGTGTCTAAGTATTTTAGTCTGTTCTTTTTAGCTGCACTAACTGAACTGGTGCAATAAGTTAAAGTGAGAAAAAATATAGTTGTCTTATTCTAACTTATTGCACTAGTTCAGCAGCGCAGCTAAAAAGAACAGACCAATAGATACATTCATAAATGTGTAGTGAAGTTGCATGTGAGTAAAATTATGAAAAAAAAACATATGCATAACCTCTGCAAAATATTATCAGTGTAAATAGTTCTTATCATTTTGTTACATTTACTATTTGTGACCAGTGACAGCCAAGTCGTTGTTGCATCACACGCTCTGAATATGCGCGCTATTGTAACTAATGAAACTTAGACACAGTCGCCTCCCGCATTTCAGCACAATTCCTCTCGCCTATCTTACGGGCTTATGCTCTGTCCTTATATTCCTATGTCTATGGCAGAGCTCGGCAAAGTTTACAACTTTCGGCCGATTTTCGGAAGCTACGCCTTCTATCTTCCCTTACGGCCAGGCGGATCCAGCAACTAACTGACGGTCACGGTTCGCGACCTCAGGACTATTGAGATCATAAGGCGCCTATCTGTGTGGTGCCTATTAAAGATGCGTTCGAAGATGCGCGTCGATCAGCGCTAACGCATCATTCAATCCCTGTACATGTAGTGAGCGATAAAGATGGAATAACGTGTTAGCGTTGACAGCGCGCTCCTTTAACGTATCTCAAAGGCTGAAAAATAAATGTATCGATACAACTATATGTATAATATTTCGTGCAAACTTGTAAAAACATATACTTGTATAAGTATATACATATATATATATATATATATATATATTTTGTTTTCCTTATATTTTTATAATTAGAAGGTAACATAATAGGTATTTCCTCGTCACCCATGACGTACTACTTGCCGACGCGTTTTTTTCTTAAACGCGTCGGCAATAGTCATGATCTCAACAGTCCTGAGGACGCGACCGTCAGTTGCTGGATCCGCTGCGCGATAAGGGGAGATAGAAAGCGTAGCTTCCGAAAATCGGTCGAAAGTTGTAAACTTTGCCGAGCTCTGGTCTATGGTATGCAACGCAACGAGACATTTGGCAAACGAATGATAAGCGATGATAAGCGTAGTACGTCGTTACTATTTTAGTCACAAGAAACAACAAGCGACGTCACTTCAGCGCAAGATATTAATCTAAGGGGACCAAAGTCATTACGTTGTTATTCGCGCGGTGGATTCTACAGAATTCTCGATCGCGGATTACCGCTCGTTCATCTCGTCCCGATAATACCGTCGATCTTCCCGCAGGTACTGGGTGACCGGCCGGCGAAGTTGCCGGTTATGGTCTTTGTACATGGCGGTTCTTTCGCCATCGGCAGCAACAACAGCACGCTGTACGCGCCGGACTATTTGTTGGATCACGACGTGATTCTCGTCACGTTGAATTACCGGCTCGGTGTTTTAGGTGAGAAAAGAGCGGGAGCGAGAGAGATCGTCGGCGAGCTCTTCTCTTCCTTCTCTATAACCGGCGATATTCACTTTCCTTCCTTCATTCGTTTCTCTCCGTCGCGACAATGCGCCGTGGCGCATAGAAAAACGCGTTATCCTGATCTCCACGATGGGTGTGTGGCAAGTCTCCGGTCTTCTTGCTCTAAACTCCAAACTCCTGCGGCTCTGTTCTCTCTGCCAAGAGCGCCTCGAATTACTGCCCGCAGTTACGTAATCCTCAAAGCGTGGGGAATGATTGCCGGCAGAAATGATGGGACTCGGAGCGAACGACTGAAGATTTGCTACATCTATCGTGAACCAGATCCGAGCAGGTACCTAAATCGACCAGCAGCAGTCGAGAATTCTTGGAGAGAAACTGTCCTGTAGAGAATAACCGACTGTGCCTAATTAGTTCGCTTTCCGCTGCTATCTTTGTGTACACTGAATATACAGCCGAAGACCTTGCGGCGAACCGTACGTGTCTATTTGTGGAGCGCCCGCCGGTTCAGAAAAAATGTCACCGAAGGCCGACCGACATTCGACCTCGACGATAAAAACTACAATTATGCGAGTCACGAATCTTATCGCGCTTTCGCGATACACACGACATGTATTCTAGGATTCTTCAGCACTTCGAACCGAGTCGCGCCGGGCAACTACGGCCTCAAGGATATGGTAGTGGCCCTCCAATGGGTGCAAGAGAATATCCACAGCTTCGAGGGCGACCCCAAGTCGGTGACCGTGATGGGCTCGAGCGCCGGTGCCGCGGCGACGCACCTGCTCGCGTTCTCCGGCAAAACGGCTGGCCTGTTCCACCGGTACATTCTGCACAGCGGCAGCGCCCTGAATTTCTGGTCTGTGCACTCCCAACCAACGAACAGGCGAATTTCCCGGGAACTCGCGAGGCTGGTCGGCTGTTTGCCGACTGACTCGGGCGACGAGACCGCGTCGAATGGGACGATCTTCACGCCGAGGTCGGACGAGGAACGAAGCAGGTGTGAAAGCATGCACGACGCGTCGGCTAACGAAGAACAGGACGAGCGGATGATGAAGTGCATGAGGACCGTCAACATAAGCGAAATGCTGAACATGACGAAGCAATTGGTGAGTGTCGGCGCGAGAACGTTGCGACATTGCTTTAAGCCGTGTTCCAAAATTCACTGCCGGCGCTTAAAAGAAGTTATAGTTTGCGAGACACAAACTATATATTTTCAGTACTGGCAGTGAATTTTGGAACACGGCCTTAGTCATCTCGCCAGCACCGCGTTTCTCACGCTTAATTTTTGTTGTTGCTGTTGCTGTTGCCGTTTGGCAGTTTGTTTGGAGATCGGAGCCAACTTGCTTCATCACGCCTACGTTGGAGGACGAGTCCGAGGATGCCATTGTGACGATTCATCCGCTGAAGGTCGTGAGGAACGGCCTGTTCCGCGATATACCGGCGATAATACTATTCGTGAAGGACGAGGGTCTGGTGAAGTCGACCGGTACGGCTCGTCGTAATAATGTTTAGTTAATTAAAATTGTCACGCCCAGGCAAAATTTAACCGACGTCGTTCGAGTAACCCGCTCGGGCGGAGCGTGTGGAGATGTTTCATTTTAACGAATTTAATATTATTAATAAAATCGTCGGATTTTTGCGCGCGCGGGATGAAAGTCGCGACGTCTCGCGTTTAACGTATTATTCGCAGCATTATTCGCGTACGTATGATATCTCCTCCTCCCCCCCCCCTCCCCGACAAATTTTGTCCGGCTATTATTCTCTTCTTCTCCTTTTTGAAAAATTATCGGATCGGCCGGTATCTCGTCGGAGACGAGCCGGCCGGGATCTTATCGTAACGCGTGCGACCCCGCAGATTTCTTGATGCAAACTGACATCCAAGACCAGTTCATAGAGAACTTCGAGCAATACTTGCTCCTCTCGACGGAACTGCAGGAGGTGATATCCAACAGCAGCGCTTTCGCCGACGCGATAATGGACTTTTATTTCGACGGGAACCTCACGAGATCGAATCTCAAGCGCAACATCACGGAGGTGCGTTCGCGCGGGACTCGAATCGCGCAGCCAGGTGGGTGCATGCGATTTGACGATACACACTGTTCCAGATGATAGGCGACGGCGGGATAATATGGTCGTTGTTACGAGCCGTGCAGTATCAGTCGGAAATGGGGAACGCCAGCATTTACTTCTCCTTCTTTGACTACCAAGGAACGTTCTCGTTCACCTTCAACTCGGGTAGTTCGGCTCCCTTCGGTATGATCTCTGGTTGTATCCAAAGTTGATCCGCTTTTTCTCTCTTTCTCTCTTTCTCTCTCACCTTTTTTATACTCGTCATTTAAATTCATTGTTGTGTAATCGTGTGTTTCTTTCCCTTCTTTTCTTTTAAAATACTTTTGCGTTATCGTAATTTTTGCTCTCATTCACTCTCTCTCTCTCTCTCTGCTGTCTTTACTCTTTAAACCCTATCGTGAGTGAACATACTCACTTTCAGGCGTCTGCCACTGTGACGAGCTCAACTACTTGTTCCCCGTCTTAAACAATATGTTTAAGGGATACATGCTGCACAATACGGAGAACGATTACCGCATGATTGACGTCATGACGGAGATGTGGGCGAATTTCGCGAAAGAAGGGTAAATACGATCGACGACGACGACGACGCGAGCTCTCGCGATCTACGCGGTATTTTTCTCACTCTCGATTACGCCGATCGGACCGAACGAATAATCGTCGCCGCTCCCTCGGGAACGAAAGTTTCCTCGAGGGCACGACGATGTCCGCGCGGCGGTGTCGCTCGCGCGATCCCGGCCGAAGCCGGGATAAGAGTCTTAAGCTAATGAGACCGGCAGGAAATTCCGATCAGCATCAGCGCGAGGACGATCCAGCCGATCGCAATGATTATGAAATATTTACAGGGTCCCGAGAGCGTGGGTGATCCCCGAGTGGCCCGACTACCGCGATCATCATCAGTTCATGAGATTCGGGATTGACGCGTCGCCGGATATTGTGGTGGAAGCCGATTTCCTGCCCGCCCGAATGGAATTCTGGGAGAAGTTGATGGCGAATGTATCGACGGAATGCGACGCGGAACACGACGACAATCCTCCGGAGAACATAGCTATCGCGTTCGCCTGTAGTTTACTGCCCGAGCTCGTGATAGTACCGATCCTGATCTTAGTAACGTTGGTTCGTTGGCGCGATCTCTTAATGAGGATCATACTCGCCCGCGCGTAATGACGAGGCGCGCTTAAGTAGTTGAAGTGAGTTTGCGCGTACGCTCGCACGCGGGTATTCGATCGACTCCTCGCAAGTGTCTTCTTCTTCTTCTTCTTCTTTTTTTACTTATATACGCAGAAAAAACAGACTGGTTGAACCGACGCGACGGTGAATGCGAACTCGCGCGCGCGTCTTAGGATGCGCGCCGTCGATGTAAAAACACCAACGCTTAAGCCCGGGAGATACTCCCGCGACGAGAATGTAAAGAGCGACAGAGGTATGCGAATAAACTGACGGATGTGCAAGATTCCGCGTGTGCAAATTAGTATCTGGCGCAGCCAGGGTCGTCGACAGGGCGGCGTGTTAATCGCGAAAACACGGCCAGAGGCTGATATACGCGCGCGCATATCGCGCGTCCTGCTAGGTGGCTGTAAAACACGTACGAATTCGAGCGCCACTTGTGGCTCTCGATAGCATCGTACGGCTCGCACGGTTCGATGCGTGCCTCTGCCCCCGCCGCGGCGGGGGAGCTAGTTTACTCGTCCCAGTAAAAAGTAACGACGACAGTAAATACGAGACGAAGCTGTTTCGTTTACTATATCCGCCGCTTATCTCTTGCGCGGCGCGCGAGAGATCGATACGCCTGTTAATAGCGCCGATAAAGTTTCCGAGGCTGGCAAGCTTCGAAACTCGACCACTTATTTCGGGCGAGAGAGAGAGAGAGAGAGAAGATGCGAGTAAACAGGTCGCTCTCGTCGATCGCAAGGACGATAATGCGGCAATAAATCGCATGATTAAACAGCTTGCATATACATATAATTTCCAGCTACGTGCTCTCGCGATTCTCTCAGAACGCGAGCGTAGAGTCGTGATTCTATCTGGCAGGGAGGGAATATGTGTGTGTAGGGGGAAGGAGGGTGACGACACCACGCTACCACGGCCGCCCCTGAGAGCCATTCGCCATTTCTGTCCGCAATTACAGTCGAAATTAACCCCGTCAAAAATCCCCGACGGTGGCCGCCGCCGCCGCCGCCGCCGCCGCCGCCGTCGCCGCCGCGCCGCCGCTGCTGCATTAAAGGCAGCCTAATAAACGAAAGGCATAATGAAATTCGCTGGAAATTAAGTTTGCCACGCGGCGCGAGTTAACGCGCATATAAAATATGCAACTCTCAGTTTTCCCGGGCTCCTGAGCGGGCACGGGAGCGCTCGGGGAAATTAATCATCCGCCCTAGGCAACCGCTGTTTGTCTTCTTTCCGTTTCCCATCCGTTTCCGGACGTATCGCGGAAGGAACTCGCCGCTCTGTGTGTGTGACGGCGGCAGGGTGGCGTATCTCGGGCGTCCTCTCGAGCAATGATTATGCAACGACGATGAAACGAAGACAAACACCGCGCGCGGCTCCGTTGCCCTCGGAGAGAGAGAGAGAGAGAGAGAGAGAGAGAGAGAGAGAAAGAGAGAGAGAGAGAGAGAGAGAGCCGCCGCGCCGCAGCGAGAGCCGCCATATCGCGACGTGTCTCCTCATAAGGATGAAAAGTGCTAACAGCCGTGTAAATCCACGAGATCTCAGACCCCGCGCGCGCGCGCGCGGATTACCGTGCGAGCTAAGTACAGCCGCGGACTCGCGCCCGGATGTGTCGCGCTCGTCTAACGACCCGCCGCCGCGCGCGATCCTCCGGCGCAGGAGGAGTCGCAGAAGGAATATCGCCGCCTAACGATACGCGCGCGACTCCCTCTGTGCGAACTGCACGCCGAGAAAATCGCGCACGCACACGCGGCTGTCCGCCAGACAGACCGAGAAGCGAGCCTGACCGATCTCGCAGCTCTCGGCTTTCCCGGGATTTTTTTTTTTTTCATTTCAGCGCCAGGACTCACTCGTGACTCACTCTTTAATGATATTTTGTTATCGCAAGAGCCGGCCCTTTCTTCCACCAAGCCCTCTTCGCTCGAGTTCCGACATTCAATTAATTAATTGGTAATTAGTAGTTTCACCGAAACTTTCGCCGAATATTCGCTGACGCCTGCGAGACGCAAATCTGGGCTCTCTCCCGGTTGCCGAGGAGGAGGAGGAGGAGGAGGAGGAAGGAGACTTGTAACAATATGCCGATAAGTGCGGCGTTACAAGTGAAAAGGATATTGCAGGCAACGAAGCGGCTCGTAGAAGAACGCCAATGAAGACCGGGGTGAGCGGCGAATCGTCATGTCGCGTGCATCGACCAGTCGGGTTTCATTTTTTGAGATTCAGCTTAGGTAGAGACAGACTGTCGATAGATGGTAAGTAGACAAGCTGAGTGCTTTCGCTCCTTTTCGGTGTATCAGACCGACGAGTAGATTTCAGACGATTAAGCGTATTCCGCTTATCGGCCGGCGACGAGCGACAAGCGACGGTCGCCGGCCGTTCAACTGGATCGGCCGAGGCGCCGAACTAATTAACCGCGGGACAAAGAACGGGTGCACCGAGCGCGACCGGAGCGACTCGGCGCGGCCTTTTAAACCGCACGTTAGGAACGAGTCTCATTCGCGGCCATGTACAAAGATAATATTGTTACGTCTCGGCACAGGAGAGACGGCGAGAAACTGGAAGCTATCAAAGTCACGTGCGAGGAGACGCGAGGAGAAACATCAGCCGTCACCGTCGACGGCCGATGACTAATAGTGGATAATTGATTCAAAGGCAACAGCCGCCTGCGGCTGTTTCACTCGCACTGAGCGTATAAGATATCCTCGCGGTGTAATCCTTCTTCATTGCCCTCCCGTGAGGGAGAAAGAATTATCCGCTACATCCGCCAGCATCCTCGCGTGGCACTTAACGAGCCCCAAGTGAGTTCCAAATAAATTCCCTCTGATGACATTTCCTCTCTCGTTCCGCGAGAGCCTGCGACCCGCTCGTTGTCGAATTGCGAAATAAGATTGCGCCGCGCCTAATATCTCCCCGCGAGAAAGGCAGTGTTCTTTACGAGTTCGCAACAGTCGATGCTTAATCCGTTTCCCTCTCGATGCTAATGAATGGAGTTTGCCCGCCGGCGCGGGCGCCCGCGCCGGCGGCGAGCACGCAATTACGCGGGAGAGGGTGGGGTGGGAGGGGGGCCCGCGTGCCATTTCGTAGCCCCGCGATTGAATTGAATTCGCGAGATGCCTCGCGCACTAATGCGGTATTCGGGATCCGCGCGGCGGATCCGTCGCGAGAAATGCCGGGCCTCGCGCAAAACGCCGGCGAAATCGCGAGCGCGCGCCGATCGCATCCGTCGGTGAGAATTCGCGAGCGAGCGTTTATCCCGTCACTTGTATGTTCTTTCCTCTTTCTCTTGCTCTCCACGCACGCGAGCATAAATAATTATCTCGCGAGATAACATACGTGGTTATACTCTCTCGCATTCCGTCTCTCTCCTTCTATCGCGCGTCCTTGTTTTTCTCATGAGCACGGAAACACGCTCGGCACTTGACCTGTTTGTCAGATGAAGACAGAACGCAGGGGGAGAGGAGCAGGAGGAGGGGGAAGCACTTTTCACAACCGGAACAGAACGAAAATGCTGTTATCTCAAACTCGAATTATCTCTCGGGACACACTTTTCTCGGCGGGCGCGCGCGCACCAGCGCCGAGCTTAAATTGTAATTTCAGCCTTTGTCGCGGTATCCGGCCACAATACTTGGGGAAACGCGAACGGCCGCCGCGAGCGCATTTCCAGTCTGTTTTCGCTCTCCCAGTCACGTGCGCTGACTGAAAAACGCGCTTTGACGTGAAAAACGCACTTCCGTTTGAGCTAAAGGGCGCAGCGCGGGCGGATAGAGAAAAAAAAGAGAGGGGAAGAGAGAGAGAGAGAGAGGGGGGGGGGGGAGAACGAGAAAGGACCCCATCAACTCGCTGGGAAAAAGCGCGCACAGTGGGATGTATATTTTTTCGAGTTCACCAGAAGGATCCTGAAAAAGGCTCCCTGCGTAAACACAGAAGCTCTACGTGCGACGAATGAAAAAAACGACAAGAGTGATGCGGAGGAGGAGGAGAGGGAGAAACGGAAAGAGGCATTTGGACGATTCCGAATGAGACGGATAAAGCGTCTCGTTTTCCACTCTTTCGCCCCGCCGTCTCGCGATTGTCCCAGGACGCGCAACTGCGCGAAAACCAGGGAACGGCCAACGGGCCCCGTCTCTCGTCTCGATGATCGTCGAGCGTTGATGATCGTTTAGACGCATCGTCATTTCTTCGAACGTCGAGCGTTTGTACACCGCGTGAATTCGCCTTGAAACGAAGGCCGGAAGCGCAGGAAACGCGGCGTCGTTGATTAGCAAAGGCAATAACGCCTTGAAGAGACCGATCGGTCATCACTACCATCCGCTACTACTATTAGTAGTAGAGCGATTATTTTCGGAAAGAGGCCGAAAGAGGAGGCGCGTGGACGCGCCTTTGAATTTGTGCTGCGAATCCGAACGAGCCCGGCGCAGAGTGTCAATTTCCCGTAGAATCGGATATTTACCGCCGCAGGAGAGCCGCGCGAACTTTCCTCTCCGACTCCGTCCGCAGGGGGCTGCGGAAGAGAGGGAGGGGCAGAAGTGGTCGTTGATTTTTCAGCCGGTCGAAAACCCTCGAGAATGGCTCGACAGACGATCTTTGCGCGAACGAGTGAGTCTCGGCGATTATTTAGCGGACAAACGCCAACTGAATCCCCGCGCTATCAGTCTGAACGGCGACAGGAAGATAGGACGAATCCTCCGACAAGTTTCGAACGGTCGAGATGTGTCGACGGCGCGAATAGCGTGAATATTCCAAACGCGCGGAAGCGTCGGAGAACGTCTCTCGGCGGAGGTCTGGCGGAGGATCAATCGACGGCCAATTGCCTCGCTCGATCGTGTCGAGGATACCGACAAAGGAAGAAAGAGAGAAACAGCCGCCGAGAGACGCCCCGCGGCGCGAACAGCGGCCGGGATTTTCGCGGGATTTTCACGGCATGCAAACCGCGCGGCATCGATTGCAATAGCGTAGATTGCGACGTGTCGCATATCAGCGGCCGTCGTGGTGTCGCCGCGGTTACCAGCCGGCACAATGCCTTTAATGCGACGTATTGTCCGTCGCGGCAAAAATTGCCCCTCGTTACGCGTCCGACAATGGCAAGTCCGACCTCGCCGACGCACGCGACGGCCGCCGCGCCCGACCCGGAAGAATCGCGGATTAGCATAGCGACGAGTCGCTTCGTGCCGCTCAGGCTCAGGTGACTCTTTTCGCGGAATGTCAAGCGACGACGACCGTTCGATAAGCGCGAGCCTAGGCCGGCTTGATCGCGATTGGAAAAATCTGATAAATTCCGCTCGTAATTACG